AATTATTTGAATTAAAAATTAGGTAAAGTACAAAAAATATATATACAAGATTTGACATTTGTAACAAAATAAATTCTGAATTTTTTATTCTATTAATTTAAATTCTAAACTTTTAATTTGTTTTTAATCTAAAACATTTGTCTATTTTCATTACATAAAATTGACAAAAAATTAATATTTTAGTTATTAATGGGTATTTTAAACATTTTATTTATAATTACATTGAGTTTAATAATTAAAATACTATTTTTTCGACAATTGTAGTTAACAAAAATAAATAAATAATTAAAATTAAAATTAAAAAATTTAAATTTAAATTTAAATTAATAAATTTGAAAATTCAAAATTTATTTTATTACCAAAGTCAAATCCTAATTTTTTTTTATTATGATTATCTCAAAAATTTAATATAAATATACTAAAATGATAAAACTTATTATATTTTTTCATACCTCAAGAAAGTCATGTAATTTACCCGGCAAGTTATTTAATATGCACAAAATAAAATTTAAAGTTTAAAATTTTTCTTTTTTACTTTTTACATTGTAATGATGGTAGATGAATGATACCTATGGTGGGGTGCTGTATTGCAGATACATGGGGGTGATAGTGATAGCAGTGGTTGTTGTAAAATGGTGGTGATGATGCTTGTAACAATAATGATAAGGGTATTTTTTTTTTAGGATCCCTGGCATTAAGATTTTATAGCATAAAGGAAATTTAATATTTTCATAATGTTTAAGGTCTCTTAATTTGATCTAGAGAAATTTCATCTAGAGAATTTCTCTGGACTTCCCGGAGAAATTCTGGACCAGAGAAATTCTCTTCAACTCAGAGAAATTCTCTGTTTCTCTCTAGAGAAATTTCTAGATTATGTAAAGAACTAATAGTTATGGTTTTTAACTCAAAAAAGAAAGAAAAAAAAAAAAAAAAAGAAAAAAAAAAAAAAAAAAAAAAAAAGGGCAAAACAGCAACACTACCACCAGCACTGATGCAAAGAGAAATGTGCACACCAGACAAATCATGTACAAAATTATTGCACTAAGTACAACTAAGAAACAAAATTTCTCTGGACTTTCAAATTTCTCTGACCCACTCTCCAAAGAATTTCTCTGACCCACTCTCCAAAGAATTTCTCTAGCCTTCTCTCCTCTCTAGAGAAATTTTCCTTCTCTATCGAGAAAATTGAAATTTCTCTAAACAAAATTGTTTGCTTATGTAGAAATCCTTTCTCTGTGAAACCAGAGAAAATTCAAATCCTTTACTAGAGAAAATTCAAAATCTTGTACAAGAGAAAATTGAAACCAAAAAAAATTCTAAATCATTTACCAATCAAATCCTTTATCAGTTGAATAGAATAAAAAGAATGAGAAGTGTAATATATATACTAATAGTACACAACCAAAGTAAAGTGCTCATCAAAGAAAATTCTAGACCAGAGAAATTTTGGACCAGAGACTGAAACCTAGAGAAAATAGGTTTTCTATTGATTTGAAAAGTTACTACAAATAAATTGCTCAAATTCATACATTTCGCACCACCAATGCCCTAAATCAGCGCCCTTCTCTCCCTCCTCCCTTCGATCATACCTCCCCAAACCCTCTCGGATCAGAAAATCTGACCTCGATAATCAACGCAAGACCAGATCTGAAAATTTTAGAGAATTTAAGCAGTTTTGATATAAAAACTTCCATGGATGTGATGATTATGAGCGAGAAAAAAGTGTGATGACTTTGAAGGTGGATGACGAAAAGATGAATGATGAGATTGGAAGCGATGATTGGGAGATCATAGAGCTCGATGCGGTGGAGCTTCTTGCAAAGCACATTCATTTATGCAAAATTTGTGGGAAAGGATTCAAGCGCGATGCGAATTTTCGGATGCACATGTGAGCCCACGGGAACCAATCCAAGACGCCGGAGGCTCTGGCAAAACTGGAGAGGTGTTCGTCGAAGTTTAGCCGGAGGAAGACTTAGTCTTCGTGTCCTTTCATAGGGTTTAATCGGAACAAATTGCATAAAAAGTTTAGACCATTAAAATCAACAATTTGTGTGAAGAATTACTTCAAGAGAAGTCATTGTTTGAAGATGTACTCTTGCAATCGCTGCAACAAGAAGAGCTTCTCGGTGTTGGCTAATTTGAAAAGCCACTTGAAACATTGTGGGAAGTCTAAGTGGAAGTGCTCTTGCGTAAATGAGGTTTGATAGAATGAAGATCAGAAACAGAGGGAGAGTCAAATTTCTCTGATATGACATATGGGTGTGGGTTTGGGAACTTTAGACATCAAAAAGTAATATTGTGGATCTTTTCCATTACTAAAAATGAAAGAGGGACCTTAGATTAATTTTCTCTAATGATAATGGTAGCGAAAAATGATAATAATGGCAGTGAAAATAGTACAATGACAAGGATGTAGTAGTGGTAGTGGTGATAACGGTACGGTATATATTGGAATAAGTTATTTTAATAATTTTTATCTTTTCATAAAAAAAAAAATGTGACAAAAAAATAAATAGGCAAAAAAATGCTATTTTAGTAGCATCCCAAACAATTCCTCAATGTGTGGGCTGACAGCTGCGTTGACTCGGAATTGCCAAGTAATTCACGTCTTTCATTTCCACATATCTATAAAGACCATGCATGATCTCCAACCTTTGCACATGTTTGAGACCTCTACATCCATTTGTTATGGGAGGTAGATTAGGTAAGATTGTTAGTGAGAGAATTATTAATGAAAAAATTGTTAGTAAAAGGATTAAGAAAATTTATTTTTGTTTAATAATCAATGGATTAGCAATAATTTTTATTTGTTTTGAGAGATAATAGTGGAATTAATTAATAAATTTCACAAATACCCTTGTTGCATTACTATCAAATTTGCAATTGTTAGTGAGTGAATTATGAAAAATTGTATTTGTTTGTAATATATTTTAATATTAAAAATTATGTTTTATAAAAATATTATTATATTAACAGAAGTGATGGAGACCCCTCTTCCCACTACCTCACACACACATGGGGGTTGGTGATTGAAGGAGAAAAAAAAAAAAAAAAAAAAAAAAAAAAACAGGATCCTCATGGGTAGGGCTGAGCAAGGAATCCGTGAAATCCGTAATCCGATCCAGTCCAGTCCAATCCAGTAGGTTTGGATTAGTTTTTTGAATCCGTGGTTCGGTTCCGGATAAAATCCGTAGTTCACGGATTGGTTCTGAATTGAATCTCACGGTTCCGGATTGGAACCGATCCGGACCGTATACAAATAGTCTATATTTTTATTATACACCCTCATGCATAGTATCTTCTCTTATTTCATATAAAACTTAAATCCAAACCTAAACTTGCATAGTATCTTCTTTTATTACTTTTGTTTGCTAGTTTTTAGTGTTAATTTGTAATGGTCTAAATACTTTTGGTGGAACTAGTTTCTTTATGGTTGTTTAAATTCTAGAACAGTTTGTCGCTATTATGAAAAGACATGTTACTATTGTGAAACTAATATGGTGCTATATTTATATTTTTATGAAAATAAAGTGTTATATATATATATATATATATTTTTGTTATTTAATTATATAAATTCGTGGTCCTAAACTGATCTAATCCTTATTTAAATGGATTGGTCCGGATTGATTTCACGATTTAAACGGATTGGATTGGTTCTAATTTTTCAGGAACCGTAGATAACGAATTGATCCTGATTTTATCCCAATCCGATCCAATCCGGACCATGCTCACCCCTAACAATCAGGCCAACTGCCTACTTTTAACGGGCTAACAAGCGTGCCAGGTTTTAATACATAAATTTGAGTCAAGCTCAAGTCTTATTTAGGTTGGGTGAGCCCGCCCTAAGCTCTTGTTTGGAGATTAATCAAAAAATTAACTAATAAATTCCACAAATACCCTTGTTGCATTACTATCAAATTTGGCAATTGTTAGTGAGTGAATTATAAAAAATTGTATTTGTTTGTAATATATTTTAATATTAAAAATTATGTTTTATAAAAATATTATTATATTAAGGGAAGTGATGGAGACCCCCTTTTCCCACTACCCCACACACACATGGGGGTTGGTGATTGAAAGGGAAAAATAAATAAATAAATAACCAATCACATGCCAGAAAGGGCCGTGGGGGTGCTCCCTGTAGGGGTCCAAACCATTTTTCTTATATTAAATTATTTAAAAAAACATAATTATGAAATAATGAGAGAAAAAAAAAATCAAATCAGCCCATGGTTTTCAAAACCAACCCATGGTTTTAAAACAGTGTATTGAAAATTTTATTCAATTAAATGTTGCTTTATTCATGATCAGCAAAGCTTTGCCTTCTCTATTAAAAATAAAAAATAAAAAAAAAGAAAGAAAAGAGCTTTGCCTTCTCTGTTCAAAAAACAAAAGAAAAAAAACTGAGGTTTGCCTCCATCCATCACCAGAGCTTTGCTGATAACACTGACGAAGAGTGAGAACGAGATCACCAAAACGACGCCGATCATCACCGTCAACAACGCCGATCATCACCATCAACACGATTTTTTTTTCTTCTTGCAAATTTCAATTTTGAAAACTATAAAATACCGTTGAGTCAGATGATGTGGTTAAATCTTGTTATGGGCAAAATTATCTTTCACATTGTAATACCAACGGCTTCATCTCTAATACCAAGTTCCTAGACCTATGCTAATCTGCTCGTTGAACGGGATTCAGAGTCCGTTGAGACTGTGACTTCGTTGGCCAAAATAGAAAACAAACATGAACTTGGGGAGGAGGAGCTCACTGTTAGTCCAGTCTGGAGGTGTAACTCGAAAAACAAACGGACAGTCAATCTTCACACGAATCCCATCTTATTCACAATGCACACATTTAGTTAGTGTAAAAAATGAAGATCTAACAAAGACAAAAATCCATGATACTTGCAAATCAATATCCAGTGAGGCATGATGCCCAATGAGAGGTATAGGCAAGGCAGAATACCTTAAGAAATTGCTACCTACAAGCAGGAATTAATGCTTGACAAATTGCACATCAAGAACACTTTCATAACCATACAATTCGAAATTATAAGTATTAATGTAAACCTTATTTGGCAGCAAACAGGGTATAAAAAGCGAAGTGGCATAACAAGAAACACACTGGATGAAAAACCCCACATACAAATAATAACATTCATAGAGGTCTCCAACTTGGGAAATTTCCAGATGACACAGGATGAACGAACTAAACAACAATTATTCCTAGATACATCTCCAAGATGTTGGCCTTCAAGGATCAATGATGATGATGCTTATGCTCAAAAAGGCCATCAGGACCTGCATGTCATAAAAAATCAACAAATTAAAGTGTTAATGCCCATGCGTGCCCACACTCAGTAGTGTTGGGGCTCAAAAAAACCACCACCACCACCATTAAAACAAAATCAAATGAGCATTGGGGGGGGATGTATGATTTCATCCTCAAGGGAGGAAAAAAATGTTTATAGTTTTTTAATTTTTATCTTTGTCAAGAAATTGACACAATTATTCATTTTTTATCTTGTTTTAACCCACCTTGTTCTTTTGTGCACCTAGCTTAAATTGAATTATCCTCTATTTCTCTTTCAATAATTCAAGACCAGAAATGTTCAACATGCATAATGCATAAGGCATAACAGATGCACCCTTCCTCATTGTATCAAACCCTCTCTTTATCAATTTATCCAGTTATTGTTCTCTCAACTGAAATAATACAAGAAGATAAAAATCAAATGAACATTAGATTCAAGTCCTTAATAGTGTATAAAAAACATACCCCAAGGGAACTCTTTGTTGCGAACGTGCAGATATGGGTATGGCTGCATCCAAAGCTAGGACTAGTAAGGGATACGAATTAATAGTGTGACAAAAAAACAAAATACATATTTCAGTAATTCAGACGCTGGAAGAAGAAGGCAATAATATCCTCAATATCCGATTAGGCATGAGGGCACTACAAAGAACACTTGCATATAAAAGTAAAAAACACCAATAAGAGAAATTTAGATGGGCCAAAACTCAGAAGAAAGCTTACAGGAGGCTCGTCGTAATGGGGATGGCCCCTGGAAAGGTCATAGATTGCCAAAACAGTGCATGTGACAATGCCAGCATAAGTAATCTTCTCCCACTTTGCAGTTTCCTCTGAGCATGATGAATCAATTCATTCATTTATCAAAATTGCATAATCAAACCTTTTTTTTTTCTTTTTTTTTTTCACCACAAAAGAGGTGGAGGGAGGAGATGAGACTAAAATTGAAAATCAATCAGATGTCTAAAATTATAAAGTTGTGCTTAATAAAATAATTGAATGAGTTCTGACCACACAAAAATACCACATGATACTAACAGTAGAGTTAACTTCATACTTCACCCTTATATGATGAGGACATCATTCAATTCTACGGCATATGCAATTGTTATTCTTTTCATTTTCAGGGAACACACATTTTTGTATCCTAAGCATCACATAATTATTACTATATATACATTCAAATTACAGCACTCTGGGTCAACGTGATGCACTAATACCTAACTCTTCAAAAACTTCCATTCAAAATTTGTAATTAAAATCCCCTTAAAGATAAATGTGAAGAATTGATCGAAAGGGCTGTATTTACCAGAGAATTAGAAGTTGCTAGAAAAAATTACGACAGAAACATATATCTCATCATCTTTGGTCAAAACAAGTCAACCGTTCAAAAATCTAACTCTTTTTTGGGGGAGATCATAACACCGATATATCGTATTAATAAAATTTTATTATTTGAAAATATTCAATCAAAGATTCAACGATGCAAGGAAATGAAAACCCTAGAAGCCATATGTGCAGTGCAACCCTAAGAATAATCTAAAGTCATGATGGTTCATGGAATCGAAATTGATTTTGATTCAATCAGGTTGTCAATCTATACATACATATATAAATAAACGACAAACAATTACATCTATATATATATACGGAGAGGGAGTGAGAAAGAGTGAAGAGTTCATACTGGCGTCGTCGTGGGCAGAGGAAGCAAAGGTTCTCTTAGAAGCTGGAGTCCGAGGTCCACCGCGGAGTGCCGTTCGGACTGCAGATCTCGCCATCGCCGTCGCCATTTTTGACCTTTCTCTCTCCTCTCTCCGCGTGTGTCAAACTGATCGATGATTCTATACCTGATTTTTTTGTTTTTTTCCTTCTTCTCTCAGGCGCTTTCGGTAGTGATATCAGGCGTAGCAGCGCAAAAATGATTTGTGCCCAGTGGGCGGTCCGAAGCCTGTCTGCGATTTGGGGTTGGGTTTGATCCGTTTAGGCGCGTTTTGGTTTGGGGTCGAGCTCAGTTTAAGGCCTCGTTTGGGAAGAGATTAATTTAGTAATTTTTTGATTATTTGATTAAAATATGAGCTAAAAAAAATTAGTATATTTGGGATGATTTTTTAGCTTTTTACGAAAAGATGTGCAAAAAGTAGAGAGAAAAGAGAATCTTTGACTTTTTGGTATGGGTTGTTAACTTTTTGGCTAATTTAGTAATTTTTTGACTTTTTAACTAAAAGAGAGGGTTCCCAAACGAGACCTAAGTCCTTGGACCTACGTTTGGGTTTTTACTTTGAAGCCTAGCTTGACTTCTGGATCTGATCCATTGGTCCGCTTAAGGCCTATTCAAGGCCTGATCCACTCAAAATTAAGTATCTTTTTTAGTAGAAAATAATAAAATTTTAGTAAAAAAAAATTTAAAAAAACAAAAAAAAATTAGCCAGGCCCACTCAAGTCCAAGGCTAGGCCTAGGTCTACCAGGCCGGCATGGCCCAAACATCTCTGGGCCTGGGGTTAGTTCTTTGGCCAGCTCAGTCCGAATTTTGGTGGGATCCTGCAAGGCCCGACATGGGCAGGGCCGGGCCAAATTTATACCTCTATTTAGGCCCTGTTTGTTTGGGTTATAAGGAGAAGATTGGGATTGATAGTGAGGTGAGACTCACTATGTGTCATGTTTGTTTTGAGAAATGGGAGGAGACTCTTAATCCATTGGTATTATGAGAGGTCATGGAAGGGGGATTGAGATGGAGGAGGTAGATGTAGTATTAGAATTTTAGTCCGCAAGATATTTTAATTTTTTATATGCTGGATATTTTTTTTGAATATTAATGTTTATTTTTTTGTATTTTTTGTTAAGTAAAAAATCATTATTTTATTTGTTTTATTTTTTTTGAATTTTTTTTTTATTTTTTATATGTTGGACATATTTTTTGAACATTAATGTTTAATGTTTTTGTATTTTTTTATTTGTTTTATTATTTTATATGAAAATAATTTAACAATTCCTACACCAACAACTATCATCAAAACAAACACAATTTTACTTAATTTTCCCACTATAAATCTCCTCCATTTTACATCTGAAAACAAACGAGATCTTAGTGACATGGAAACCTAGCACCATCAACACGTGTGAAGGGTTTGATTTGATTTTATTGGTGGTGGGGTGGGCTAGAAAAATATTTAAGAGTTCTAAAATATAAACTCTAAAGAAGCTCTAGAGAGTGAGTTCCATCAATTGATGTGATGTTTTAGTTTTGGAATTTTTTTTGTTTTTTTTGAATTTTCACATCATTTTAGAGCTCAATTAAAACTTCAAAATTAAGGAAATGTATCATTACTAGGGTGGGCTAGAGTTTACTTTAGGAAAATAAACTATTTTAGTAATTTTTTAATTTTTTATAAAAAGATGTATTGAAAAATAGAAAAAAAAAATATAATAATTTATGGGGGATACACCAATAAATCCCAAATTAAGAACTTATACACTGTTTAGTCTTAAAAGTTTTCTTATAGACTGAAAGGTCTCATTACAATGTTTCAAACATCAGATTAATGTTTCGAACATTAGATTTTGAACATCAAATTAATGTTTCGAACATTAGATTGATGTGTAAATGGGACTAAATGGAGCATAAGAAAACTTTTAGGACTAAATGGTTCAACTTTTCAGAAACTAAGACTTATGGGTAAATTTTCCATAATTATAGTGATTTTTTAATTTTTTAACCAAAACATATAATTGCCAAATAAAACCTTAGACAAAGGTAAAATTGAAATTTTAAGCAAAAGCCTATTTTATATATAGCGTCCCAAGCCCATGTATAAAATTCGCCTTTTCAAAATGATTAATACACCGTTGTCTGAATTTTACTTATTAATGAATTTTACTTATTAATCGAGGTTGTTACTATTATTAATTGTGGATATTATTTTTATTCTTAAATGATCGGCCGGACAATTAGAAAGTACAAATTCAGACGATTTGATCGAGCCAAAATTTGGTAGATGTAGTATTCCTTTCAAGTTTTAAGCCAAACATGTTTCATGTTTTTATTTTTATTTCAAAAATTATTTAATCAACTTCGAGATCAAAATATTATTTAATATGATAAAATACCAACATATATATGACGAAAGCCAAATTTTTATAAGTTTACCAGGAAACTTTTTTAGACTTCATAAAATAAAAATAAAAAAACTATAGCATCTAACTGCAATTCTTACAGGTTTGGAGGGGACAACATACAATTTTGTATCATATAATCCAAAAATCTATAAGGTTAAAGAGAAAACAACTAACACATCGCTTTAAAATTTTAGATCTTTTGCTGCCATTGATCGTGAAATGAAGATAATTTAAATTCAACATCCAAAGAACTTGAACAACCAAGTTACGGAATTGCCCAAGCCTGGGGTGCCTCACTATAAGTAAAACTTTGAGAAAAATGTACAACACTCTGCGAGTCTAAAAAGAATTATAGTTCTAATGTGCTAGCTAACCTGTTGAGTCGGTGAAAATTCATGGTTCCGGCATTTTTAAAGGTAAAATCATCAGCTACCATCCTTGGTAACAATTTCTGCGGACTGCAAATCAATCATGAAATAGGCTAGAACATCATTGAATTGGTATAAAAAGGCTCTCGGGGAAGATCAAGCCTTGAGCATCCATTTATTCATCAGAGCATTTGAGAAGCAGTTTGCAAGGCGAGAGCAGCCTTCCCGGGGGGCCAATGCCCTCAATGTATCAGTACAAAAAGAAGTTTGAAGCTCACCTTGCAAAACATAAGCTGTAACAATTATTCACAAAATCATCATGCTGTATACAATACATTGTCAATAGACCGTTGGTTTATAAATTACTCAATATTCAGAAGTTCGAAAGTTTGAGTATTCAAATCTATAAAATCAAATATATATAAAATAAAATAAAAAGTTATTAACATTGGAAATGATGAAGAAAAGGATATTCTACAACTAAGAAATAATTTAAAAATACAAGTACCGTCTTCCAGAGCGAATAGTAACAAAAAAGAGTAACTTATAATATTTCCAACGTTGTATATTTTTTTTAACAAATTTGAGTAAAAACTTCATCTGATATCACGCACTCCAACGGACTAACATCAAAACATTGGTCGATCGGGCAGATGTCCAGCCGGTTGACTAGCTAGTGTAATTTTTCACAAATTTTCGCAAGGAGGTGATCATCCGGGAGGACATTCGGCTGAACATCCAGCTGATGGTCTGGTGGTGAAAATGACCTGCAGCTCCAACAGTTATGAACAGTGATTTGATGAAAGATACATCCATCCTCAATTTAATGAAAGATTTAAGAAATTCTGAATTTGATACTAATTTGATGAAAGGGTTGGAGCAACAAAATGTAGGTTTTTTCATCAAATTTAAATTTGATGAAACAAAAGGCGCTGGGTTGGAGATGGTCTTACACAACCAAAAGGGAAAAGGTGCACACTAACATAGAGAGGTGGGGTAACAGAATGTAAATTTGAACAAAATTAATCTATTTAATATTTATTTGACGTAGACAAACTGTAAGCACATTGACACTTTTGAAGCACCAACAAATTCATGAAACCACAGTGAGAATCAACGTAGCAAAGATCGACAAGCTATGAGCTTTATCCTTGTATGCATCAACCGCAGCTTTCCCAATTTTGTTTCATTTTTGCATGAAATCTTAAACCTGCAACGGCATCTCAACAACTGCATTATCATCTAGCAATGGATGAACACAAGTTGCATTAAACAAACAACAAATGAATGGCAGAAACATTACAACGAACATAATAATTGGAAAATATCAAATCCCATGACATCCATTGGTTACTTCACAAAATTTTGGTGAATTACTTGAATAACTGGCCACATGATCAAATACTATGTTGAGAAAAGTAGTGACTAGAAATTTTTTTATTTTTTGATTAAAAATACATAAGAATGCCAAAAGTCGGTAAAGAAAGATAAGCAAACAAATAACTCAACTCCATTCATTTGCATCCCTAGTCAAGAGTGTTCAAAATCAACAGACTCCCCAATAAAAACACATCTTGTTAAAACCTATCACCTACTTCACCCACTTAAACCTACTCCACTAAACCTAACCCACTACACCACTACCACCTCACCTACTCCACTAAACCTAACCCACTACACTACTACCACCTCCACTTCACCTACTCCTTACCTACTACACACTCACCCTCTTCTATATATAGGAATCATGAATCATTGTAATAGAAATCAAATCAAACAATCAATAATACAATCATTTCTCTTTATACATTAAATTTCTACACATCTCAACCTAAGGTTTAGAATGAGAGGAAATAATATAATAGCATGAAGTCCTCAAAAAATACCAATGATTATATTGACACATGTTATCTTTTTTTGAGCAAGCACTAAAAAACCTCTATTATCAGATTTACATATAATAGTAATGGGCAAATGGATGGATGTGTGGCAAGACTAGAAAAAATAAAGTTCGAAATAAGTATATTCGAGAATAGGTAGGAGTAGTACCGATAGAAGATGTTAGAATTTCCCATCTTTACCTTCACCTACTCCACTACACACTCCACTTCACCTACCTCCACTTCACCACACACTCCACTTCACCTAACCCACTATCACCTCCACTACACCTACTACCACATTACCTTCACCTACTCCACTACACACTGAAATAAGTATATTCGAGAATAGGTAAGAGTAGTACCGATAGAAGATAAGTTAAGAGATAATAGATTAAGATGGTTTGGTCATATACAACGGAAACCAGAAGAGGCAGTAGTGAAGAGATGCAATACAGTGACTGTTGATAGTAGTATTAGGGGAAGGGGTAGACCTAAATTGACATGAACTAGTATAATAAATAGAGATATGAATCTCCTTAATTTGACTAACGAAATGGCCTTGGATAGAAGTCAAGTGGAGAAGAAGGATTCATACAACCAACCCTATTTAATGGGACTTAAGACTTGGTTTGGTTTGGTTTGATTAGGTTAGTAATGGGGCAGATTTGATGTGGATATTGTAATGCCTTTGCCCAATTTCAATTGTCCAAAAAAAATAATAATAATAAAATTGTCCAAAGCAAACTTTCTTATATTTCAACTTCCCTTTCAATTTAATGCAAGAGTAGGATAGGTGCTAGGGTTTGAACATGGGGAATTTCAAGTGGTATTTGATGCAAAACCATGCATCTTTCAGGAGAAAAAGAAGCAACAAAAACAAAGGAAGCACAATTGGGAAAAGAAAAAAAAAATCATAAATGGTGTAATTCCGGAAATTGCTAGATACGTTGTTATATGAATACTCTAGCCACACAAAACAACGTAGAATTTGTCACTTGTAGACTCATTCATGTTTGTTCACTTACCAAACACTCTAAGCTCAACAAGCTTTGTTCTAAAGCTCATATTAAATGATGAACTAAGTCTAAGTAATCCTAAGCTCAGTTCATATGAGCACGGAAACAATGAATAGGGACAAACATGTAATTGCCTAAAGTTTATGGGATTTGGTGTTACAAAATAATTAGGTGCAGTAAAGACCATACCTTCATTCTAATAAAAGTTGTACATGATCTGTCACTTGCTAAAGCACGGAAACGATGAATAGGGACAAACATGTAATTGCCTAAAACTTTATGGGATTTGGTGTTACAAAATAATAAGGTGCAGTAAAGACCATACCTTCATTCTAATAAAAGTTGTACGTGATCTGTCACTTGCTAACTCATTCACTTCATGCCGTGACATTAATTTTTCATTTATTTCTTTATCTACAACGGGGTATTACTTAATGCAATGACAAAAGCACTGGCTGCCAAGCATGACAGCAAGGGTTAGCATATGCAAATAGCCGTTTTGTGTAAATAACATAAAAGTTTGAATTGTATCCAATCTTTTCCCAACCAGAACCCTCGAACAATTGGGGCAAACACTGGGTAGTCCCACACTAATTTAAAATTCAAAACTCAATTAAGCATGTCTTCACACACACACACACACACAAATATAAAGCTATGAATGTGTGGACAAAATTGTTATGGCAGGAAAGTTGTAAACACTTCTTAGGATCAGTTCAGAACAGAAAGGAAATGACTCAAAGTCATTAGATAATTCAATTGATTACATTGACACGTGTGATCATAAAAGTAAACCTGTTCACTGCAAAGATCTGCTATCAGAGTGATGTGATAATGGTGGAGTAGGTTTGAAGTGAATCTAGTAATTGTAACCCACCAAAAAAAGAATCTAGTAATGTAGCCTGATTTTGAACTCCAAAAATTACACTACGCTAATTTTCAAAACCTAATAATTAATGTTCTCAACATTTCAGGACTTTCCTTACATGCATGTGGATGTTGGATTTCAAACTTGGGCAACTCCAATGAGAAGTGATGTTCATGTTGTCAAACCTTGTAACATTTGAGAAAATTTAATAAAGTGAAGAAAATAATGCTGGAAACAAACTTAAGCTATTGAAGATGAGGTTTCTTTGAATTGCTAAATAATTTATTACATTACTCTATACATTGTTATAAATCCCAATAACACTGAGCATAAGAAGTTAAGACCAATGTAAATTCTTTTTTAATTTTTTCTTCTTTTTTATTTTCCAAAACAACCCAGTAATTTTTAGATTCAACCAAGCCAAGAATTTGCATTTCTAAGAGGTAGTTACTGGGGAAACAAATTGCATCTAAGATAGTCTACTCATCCTCTACTACAATTGCACATTAAACTCATAACCATTTAAAAGAATCAATTACATAAATATTTTTTAAAATGACAAGAAAAATAACTCACTTCTTGTATAGACCATTTCAAGGACCCATGACATGTCATTGGCAATTAATTACATCATCATGAACATGACATGTTTGGCCCACACAGTGCTGGCGTGTCAAGGACACACGGTGGGTTGTTTTTTTGTTTTGGATAAGTACATAGAATCCCTGCCCGGATCAGGCGATTAGGGGGAGTCACTTGATTCTCGGGCTCACGCTCTTGGGGAGGGCCCAAAGGACCCTGGGACACAGTTCCACTTATCAAAACAAAACATAGAATCCCATATAGTCAATAGATTTTTTATTTTTTAAAAGTTTGACATGTGAAAGGTGTGCTTTGACCTTTGATATTGACTAGAGCCACAACTCTAGACCTAAGAAGCATGGACACTTCTAAGAAGTTAGCGTATCCGTGTCATGTCCATGCCGGACACTGACACTCTTTAAACCTTCCGGACATGTTTCGTGTTTGTGTCGTATCTCATGTCCGTGTCCATGCTTCTTAGCGATGGACAACAATATACAAATTAAGGAAAAAAAAACCTTCTTTACTAATAAAAAACAGGAATTAAAAATTATTTAAAAAAAGAAAAGAAAAACCATCTTCAATGACTACATTATTCAACACCAACAATGATGAGATCAGATTATTGAGTATCTAGTATCTAATCAAATAGCATTTGGAGGAAAGTTTGTTTATTTAATTTTAAACAAAATGCATAAAGATAAAAACACCCAGGGATATCTGTTCTCAACCATCCCAACCCAACCAAAATGAGGCATATGGATGAACCAATATACCAACTAATCTGTCGCATAAAGAAAAGCATTCATGATAAACAACAACTAGCCCAAACCATCCTCTTCGGCCAGCCCACCGCTTTATATCGCATCAGGGGCAACATTGAGATCAATGTCTCGAACAAATTTTGCAGAAGAAGCTAAATTTGAAGCAGATCCCTCAACTGAAAGTTTGTTGACTCTCTTGGCTATTTTAGCCCTAAGTTCTTCCATACATTTCTTGGAATTCAGTACTTGATCCAAGTTGAGCTCATGAATTGGGGCATCCAACCAGTAGGGCCTTTGGCACTTCATCACACTCTCCTTAAGCTCCTTTCCTCGCCTCTTCTCTGCTCCTAGTTGTCTACACATCTCAGTGTACCCTTGGCTGAGTGCAGGAACAATAGATCCATGAGAATCCTGATCTATAGCAGCGGACATGGGGCTTTGGTAAAGGGACCTCTGTACTTTTGTGTCAACAGAAGGATGGCCAAATGAGAAGGCGTTCCCCCTAGGTGAGAAGACAACAATACCAATCTCACAACCCGTCAAGATACATAGCTCATTTGCCTTCTTGAAAATGCCTAATCGGCGCTTTGAAAAGGCAACTTGTCGAGCAGATTTTGAAGGAATCAACTTCATTTCAATCTTTCTGCGACCTCCGGCCATCTTCCTCGCCATGGAAATTTTTTTTAAGGAGAAACGAGAAGTTGGGTTTCCTTTGAGAGAAATTTAGGAAGTAATTGACCTAATTTATAGGATAAGGGCAACCCACTCTTCCCACATAATTCCAATGATTTTTCCTTTTTACAATAAAAATTACGCATTGTTTTTCAAATTATGTAAATCTTACAAACCTAACCGACGTTAATGACATTAAATATAGTGGTTGGCATATTTAATGTCCACTTGACCTTTAAAGATGCAAGAGAGACGTTATAAGGGCAATTAGATGATTCAACACAAGAAAAAAATATAATTACCTGAATGGTATGAATTGTTTCAATCAAAGTAGTAGTCTAAGAAGCGCATACACGTGACATGACACGAACTAGCCGACACAAAAAATTTCAAAAAAATGTTCGACACAATATGTGGGGAACACG